AAAATTTTATTTATTTATGTGTGTGGCCAGCTCAGCCCACCAGGGGGCGGGCTGGCTGGCATGTGGTGCTGGGGGATTGAACCGCGGTCTCTTGTGCTTTGCTAAGCTTGTTCTAAGTAGGTGCTTTAGACCACTGAGCCATCTCACCAGCCCCCCTCAATGGCCTTTAAATAAAATAGAGACATTATCTTGGATGACCTGGTGGGGTTTGGGAAACTCCAGACCTGTGGAGGCAGGGAAACAGCAGCAGAGGAGGTCAGCAGAGAGATGTGGTGGACAGGAAGATAAACAGCAGAAGGAACACATCTGGAGCTGAGGACCCCGATTCGGGGTCGCAGGGGATCTGCCAAACCGCAGGCAGGTGCACAGCCCTGCCAGCCCACTCCCCCCGAGTCTAGGCCTCTATCCAGAGCCAGGATGTGCAGCCACAGGAGAGCAAACCCTGTGCTACTGGGGGCCGTGGTGCCCACCAATATTGTCCTACAGCCCTGGTTCCAAAGGGAGCATAAGGTCAGACTCTGCAGCCCAGCGCAGGTAGAAAGCGGCACTGGCCCAATGCTACAACTTCCGAGATCTGCTCTATAACAGGGATTCACTCTGGCGTTTATGCCACTTGCCTCCTTACTTGCCTCCTTTGGGTAAAGTGAGCCCATTAGTAGAAAACAAGAGCTGCACAGCTCATCTGCCTGGCATAGGGGTGTTCCTCCCTGCTGTGACCAAGCAGAAGCCATTCCTGGCACTAGAAGCCAGCCTGGGACATGGAGAATCTACTTTGCCAGAGCTTCCTTAGGAAAGGTAGACAGAACGGAGAGAGAAGGGGAGAAGGGAAAGGGCAGGGGGACAGGGGAGAGGGAGGGGGCAGGAGGAGGGGGAGACAGACAAGACACACCCACCCACACAACAGTGATGGCAATAGCGATGACGACACACCACCTGCACAACCACCTCAAAGATTCGGCAGGCCTCATGTCTGAGGCAAACTGCAGAAAGTGCTCACTTGCATTGGATGCTGCACTGTGCGATGAGTTAATGTAAAACTAAATGTAAAAATTACTCTGCTCAACTTTCTGTGACCCTGCTTCCTTGTAAGACTGCAAGGCTTGGTGTACCGTTGATAAATCATCAATAGACTGAGAATTCCCAAAAAACAATGCTCCCAGAAAAAATGTATGCTGAGCAATGGTCACATTGTCCCTAAAGGTACTGTTCTATGTTAAGTGGCAAATCTGTTTGCCAAACAGGATGCAGTTTCTACCTTTAAAACCACTATACTTCTAAGGCTCCTGGCTGTTTGTCCTCTCCTGCGTGAGTATGGTCAAGGGGTCCCGGGCCTGGTAACAAAAGGCTTACATTTAAATTTTAATTTTGGATTCTGGTCTGGTTTCTATGTTGAGAACCCATAACACACTGCACGCCAAGCAGTGGTGGCTGGGCCTGGTGCTGCACGCTTGTAATCCCAAC